AGATTAAATATATTATACTCAAAACTGTAATAATATATAGCTGGAAGAATCTCGTCTGAGAAATAGTCTGTTTTCAAAGAAAATTGTCGTAGATATACAAGTAGGTACCTACAATATAATAATTAATTATCCTAACCTGTTAACAGCTTAGTTCGTTTGAAATTTCCAAATTGTAAGGATTCATTAATGTCTTCGGACTATACTCATATATTATATAGGCATAACAAGTTTAGTACACCAAATGACTTATAAACGTAAACTTAAACGGGGATCTAAATTGAATACAAAAATGAACAAAACCTTTTTTTCCCGAATACATTGTACGTAATATATTATATGTATTATGCATTATACCATATATACTTTAAAGTTTAAACTTACCTATATTTTTAAAGCAATACTATAATTGTAACTATATTATTGGTATTCGTAAAACATTTTAACTATATTGTTTTAGTTAGTTCAAACATCAAACTATTCAATTATAAAATATAGTAATTATTACATACAAATTTAAAAAACCTAACTATATATATGTAGCAATAATAACTATATCATATTAGTTATTTTACCTATTAAATAATTATACTTACTTATTTTTATAGTAATTTTAACTATTAGTATTAGTAAATTATTTTAACTATATTGTTTTAGTTAATTCAAACATTAAACAATTATACTACTATAAAATATAGTAAACACTACTTCATTACCTACTATAAGAAACAACTATAATTAAATAATCGTAATAACTATATCATTTTAGTTATTTTACCTAGAAAATAGTTACACTTACTATAATTTATACAACTATAATATTTTACTAATTTTTTTCTGTGTGCAGTACTATACTTTAAAAAAATAATTTCATAATTGTCATGTTTTTAAAATAGTTAAATCACCATTTTAAAAGGAGTTAGATACTAAAAAAAGTTCTAGATTAGGTTTTAAATTCAAAAATAACACTTTATCGTCAAATAGCTATTGCGTGTAAAAAAACGCTTGCAAAGTCAGAGATCAGATCGGCATGTCAACTTTCTGTTTCATATAAAACTTATAAATATACCATTTACACCTCGTGTTAAATATTTACAAATAACATAATATTATAATGTAGGTCTTTATATCTTAAAAAAATGTACTTTGCTGTAGGTACCTGTAAATTATAAAATCCAACTCACTAATGTCCAGCCTTGTATACCTACACGGAAAAAATATTTAGTTTAGTCAACAGAATTTATTGATAATTCAACTATAAAACATAGTTCTCTGAGCTATAATTGTATAATGCAGAAAGCTCTAAATAAAAAAAAAATAAAAAACATAGTTCTCCAGGGAACAACTATAAAATTAGCTAAAATTGTTAATACGATTTGGTTGAACACTTAATAGTTGAAATAGCAATACGTATTATAGTTGCATTACAAAATTATTTGTTACAGCTATAATAATTAGATACAAAAACTATTTTTTATTGGCAGATACAATTTTATTATAATATATAATGGCCATTTATACTTAAGTAAATTGTTAAACCTGCTATAATTCTTAGTATAGGGTCGACTATAGTTAAAGTAGCTTTATTTAAGTAATTATTTGTTTTGACTGCAATATATTTCAATTATAGAAATATCTATTTTTTTCGTGTATATTCATACTAAAATAATTATAGTCACTTAACCAGGCGCGGATCTAGAACATATTTAAGGGGGGGGGGGCATCTTAAATAAAATTTCAGCCAATGCATTTTATAGGCTGCCGAAAATAGATATAATAGAACCTAACGTCACGCCAGCCCCCTCCCCCCCCAATGGTCAAAATAGACATTTTTGATATTTTTCTTTTGCAGATAATTAACACGTAATTCGCACGAATTTACAAGCCTGTCTTGGGAATTCTTTCGACCCCCAAAACCTTCATTTTACAGTTCGTTTTATACTCGTATATAATTATCACCTAAAATTTGCAAGTTACCACCTAGTTGCTTTCAAACTACCTTCTTTTTTTTTTCGTAAGTATTTAGCAGATTTGCTGTAGAATGGGGAAGTATTAAATATTATAGTATTTAAATTACATTTGAATGAAATAATTATTTATTCTGTAATTAAAAAGTAGCTTAAAAGGTGTGATTACAATTTATCAATGCATAAAAAAATATTGGGCAGTTATTTTAAATAGTATATACTAGTAGTTCAGAAACTTCTTGATTTTCTTTAACTGGATTTGGTTTTTTCTTGATGTCATCAAACAATTGCCAATTTTTAGCTCCACTAATAGCGTATGCATTGTAATGCCTAGATGACGTTCTTAATTTTGATTGTGCTGGTTGAAAACTGATGACTCCTCTGAATTCATAAGTAAGGTAGTTGTATATCAACAGTTTTGGGATTTCAGACAGTCGCATTGTGCTGTTGTATCCAAACTACGATTGTTTGAAACATCTCCTGAAAAAGTGTCAGTTCATTTTGTATTAAAACATAGCTTGGTGATATAGAATCCGTTTCTTAATAACAATGTTGTAAATACGACAATACATAAACTAAATAATGACAATCAACTATATGAATTTATTAACAGATACTGATTTTGCACCACATAAAATATTAATCTTTATTTTTTAAATTTATATAATTTAATAATGCATTTTCAAAATTACAATCACTAATATTAGATCGATTTTTAGTACATGTTCAACAGAAGCACTTGAAGGTAAAGCAGTACTATACTTAAAAAAAATTAATTTCATATTTGTCATGTTTTTAAAATAGTTAAATCACCATTAAAAGGAGTTAGTAAAAAAAGTTCTAGGTTAGGTTTTCAATTCAAAAATAACACTTTATCGTCAAATAGTCAATAACTATAATATATAACAATAGTATTATAGTTCAGATTGTTAAAAAAATTCTTCTTATAAATTATAACACTTAGGTACAACATGATATATTTTATTATTTTAATATTTACACATATTATCAATAAGTTCTAAAAAAGTTAAATAAACCAAAAAAAAAAAAGAGTTATTTAGTAATAATTACTACAAAAAGTAACTTAAATTACATTTAAATTACTTACAACAAAATGTAACTGAAATACCATCAAAAGTAATTTTACCTAAAAAGTTATATCGTTACAGTAACTTGTAACTTAAGTTAAGTTACTCCCCAACACTGTACTGATTCTATTATAAGGATATTAACAAAGCACTAATTAATAATTATGTACACATACAGTTAAAAATAGTAATTATTCTGGCATTAAATAAGATGATTATGGATAAATATCGACATTTATAATTTTAATAAAAACATGAGTCTAAAATTTAAATCATATTATTGTATTTTTTTTTATTACAATTTCAACAACTTCATTAAATCTTGGCTTTTATTATTAATTAAATCAATAACATCTTCAGTATTAATATTTTGTAGCAAGTCCTTTCCAACTGATATTAAAAGAAATGTCTCTAGTTTTGGCTGAGAAAGGCAATCTCTCAAGGGCTTAAGTATATATTGAAGTTTTGAAAAAGTGGTTTCACACCTCGCTTGGGTACAAGAAAGTACAAATTTATAAACCGTATAAATATGAGAATAGGCTGAGAAATGTAAATTTATTTATGTAATGTAGTATCTAAAGATTCTAAAGTATCTTTATCACTTTCATTTAAAACTTCACTTTCTTCATCATTCACCTCTTCCATAAAGTTGGAACCAGAAGTAATTCTTTTTATTCTTGGCCATTTTAAAAAAGAATTCTTAAGTTCAGTTTGAATACTATACCAGCCAGGGAAGTACATAAGGGTGGTCGGTACTGGACCCCCATGGGTTGACAGAATTTAAAATGTATATGGTAAATCACTGATTGTATAATATTTTTATAAGTTAAAAAAATTTGGACCCCCCTTTACCAGCTGTTATTTCTAATTATGTAAGTCTGATATATCTTCATATAACTTGCTATGAGTACTAAATCATTTTTCCAAACTCTGATTATTTGATCATAAATCACATTGCAAACATTTTTTTCAAATTATAATTTCTAAGTGGCCCATTCAGGTTTCATCGGTAGCTCGTCAGTTCAATCCGGGCCTGTCGAGGACTTGTGATAAAATTATAGTAAAGATTAGGTTTAACTTTTATATTTTGAATAAATACTTACAAGTCCTAACCTTACCTGTCCGAAATTTGATTTTACTCGAAATACTTCGAATAATATTCTGCATCAGAAAATGAAATAGCAAATGTGTGTTGTCGTTCTAAATACGTCGTAAAAAACAGTACAGTTTATAATTGTTTTTCAAAAATATTGTCTTATCTCTAAAAAAATGAAAGCTAAAAAACTTGAGTGTATTCTGAAATAATGAGTGTCTTACGTTAAATGGATCACCCCGTATATATTTGTATGATATACAGATGATACAATTGAGTGATAGCGATATCATTATCGTCGTTAGTTGGACGAAATAACATGGGAGTAGTGACAACTGACAGGAATAATATCTGGAAAACTGTAGATTCTTGATTCCAAGTACCTAGCTAATGTTTTACGTATAATTATTCATATTTATTCACCGATGCATAGCCAGGCTCAATAATATTTATTAAAACCATGCAATGTGCAAAAACATAATATCATAGTAGGTGCATATCTGTAAGTACTCAGAAAATAGTACTTATATACAATACAATCCTAATGATAATAATATCAAGCAATGTTTGAAAAATAGCGAAAAATAATTATTATTTTCGAAGAAATTCCTGTAAGATCGGTTTGATGGATAAGGCGGATAGTGGGTTGGCGGGGAAATAGTGCAACATATTATTATATTATTATTATAATAATATAAATTAATATTAACTATAATAGTATATTATGTACCAACTATTAATATTGTACTGACTACTCACGCGCGGTTCCCACCAAGCTAGCTCAACGCCAGCACTCAGCAGCAGCGCGCCCGTACGGTACGCCGCCGCCGCCGCCGTAGTCATCGCCTCCTCCACGACGGTTGTTCGCCCGACAGTGGTATCGCGTCAGCCGTACCGCACTGACGTGACGACGGTCATCTCTCGGCGTTAGCCTGTGCACAGTTCGCGCGTTCGCGTATCTATAAAAACAACGACAACGAAATAATTTTCTTATTATTTTATACTGTTATCATTGTTGACTGAAACGGGTCGTGAACAACAATTGACCGTTCGCGCACGTTGCCGGGAAAATTATACCTAGCCTATCTGTAGGTATATACCACACTCCGTGTGTGAACCCGTTCGCTTACGTTCGCTGCGACGAATTTTCCTTATAACTCCTCGGCCGTTGGTCATGCGGTCCTAGACCGAGAAGAATTATATTCGTTTCCCTCGCACCGTTTCCCCATTTCGCCAGCCAAAGTGTAATCGGAGTACCACCTGTACACACTCTCGCCCGCCATGCCGCTGTTCGGCAAAAAAGACGTGTCGAAGAAGACGAAGAAGGACGCGGAAAAGTCGCAGTCCATCGAAGACAAGTACGACGTCAAAGACCTGCTCGGCACGTGAGTACAAGCCGCCCACATATTACTATATTATTTAATATATCGTTATGTATATAATAAAACTGCTTACCCGCCTGTTTGAGTGTAGGTCACTCGCATCATAGTAGGCAAACAAATGATATCTCATCGAGCGCGCTAGCCCAAGTACCCGAAAACCGGAAGTGTCGTCAGCGTCGCGGTTTGTTCCGTTTTGGTTGCATAGCTTGTGCTGTTTTTTTCGGCAACACGATAATGACATTAGTAACATTGCTGTTCAACTTGTCTACTCGATAAGAACCTGATGAGAGGACACTGCTGCCGCAGGTTCCATCTATAATGTTCGTGAGCTAGATCATTGTATTTCCTTTTTTCTTTAATGTAAACTCCGAATGGATTTTTTTCGGATTTCAAGCACTGGGTACATCGATCGGATGTAGTATATTATAAAAAAATTATTAAGACGGGCGTATTTTAAACGATAGTTTTCACCGATTCATGGAAAACAACATCGTCGATATGGTAGGGCAGCACTCAACCTACATTTAATTATATATGTATAATAATCCCCCTCCCACAACGTTATGTATTTTATTTCCGGGGTGCCCGTTACCCATATAATATCATCACCATTAATAGGTTTTGATAGTTTATTAAATCGGTTGATGTTCCCGGAAAACTCGAGTTTGGGTTCCAAACAAACGGAATAATACTATTAGTTATACCTAAGTATAAGTTTTAAAGCTTTTGATTACGTCGCGTTTTGTGTAGTAAGTACATATTATACAAGTGTATATGTTCCAAAAGTCCCATATCGCCCTCTGATTAACTTCGAGGCAAATTAATATTATTATTTCGTTAATCTAAATGCTTTTTTTCAATGATAAACTGTAGGAAATCATCGATTCCTTATACAGATTACCGTTGAAAAAAATGACTTTTGAATAGTCTAATATTATATTACCTATATATTATCAATGTGTCGCGCCGTCTCGGGGGGACTCTTGGGACGAACCGTGACTTTTGGGACACACTATACAACTTATATATTATTATAGTACTTTAGAGCCGGCATATTATTATATAATATATAATATATATATAACTTCACCGCTATTACCAAAAGTTTTACAACGTTCGTGTCTTCGTGAGTAATGCCCGAGAATGCAATAATGAAAACTCGTACTTAGACAGACGTCGTCGTTAAAACGGTCTCGAAAACCCGATGCGTTTTCATTCATATATTATACCTATATAGTGTCTATTTCAAAAATTTCTCACACTCGCCGCCGCCGTCGATCTTTCGTTTTCGTTTTAATAGATAATAATAACTGACAACAATCATGATATTGTTATCATCAAGGGCTGGTATTATATTATAGGTGATATTACGGGTAAATGGGCAATTCCCCCGAAATGTTCACAACATATTCAAAAAAATACGTTTTCAAATATGAAATAATTAATTTTTTTGTCGTTTTAGTGTGTAATAGTATACAACTGAATACTGTTTAAAATATACATTTCCATCAATATAACTATAATTATTTACGTATATTTTAATGTCAGTTTTTTATTATTTATTTGATATAATAAAAAGTAATATTAGGTATAATAATAAGAAAAATAAAAGGTAAATAGGTTATTTTTAGAACAAACCAAGGCACCAAGTAAATAAACAAAACTTTATAGAAATATAATAAATAGATGTTGTAAATAAAATATAATAAATATTTAATGAAAAAATAGGTACATGCTCGTGTTGGTACATAACAAATTTAAAATACCACATTTTGTAAATAGTCTTTGATCTGTGATTCTTTTCCCATCGCTAAAAAACATACTCTTAAATAATAATATGGGTACTTGTTATCATTATAATATTACCACATGGGAAGATAAATAGATAGTGTCTGCCTTAAAAAAATGAACTATGGAAAATGTCCTACATGCAATATTATAACGTATCAGTCTCACCGATTTCGAGAGGGACTGGTAAACGTCACGCACTGCACGAATATCGAATAATTATTAATCATAGCACGCGAGACAAATAATTCGCGATGTGTGTTTTTCACTTCTTCTTCTTCTTCTTCTTCACCGGCTGTGACGTGGTATTAATTTTATTATTCATTTGTGGTGCTCGCCGATGACAAACACGTCCGAGCTGCGTCTGACACAACGGTGACGTATCGTAATATTTTATCATTTCCAGACGTACAGTCTGTTGCAGTGAAAAAAAACCAATAACGCTACAGAAAATACATATGAAAATAAACAGATAAATAAAAAACCGGCACACGGACGCGGATAACATATCGCTGCATCGACCGCAGTACCCAATTGGTTAAAACCACCTCTATACCTCGTATACCTATAACCGATTGACGTGTACCCGTAAACATTTTCATCCTTCGCGATGCGGTGGTGGCAGTGGCGGTGACACCTGATGGATTTTCAAAAGCTGGTTTCCCGTCTCGGTCGCGGGCTTTGCGTGCGAGTAGTTCAATAAGCCGCCGCGTCCATTTCTTCGCATTTAATTCGTGCGCTGCAGCAGACAAACGGTCTTAAAACACGATAATAAATAATAATAATAATACAGCCGAGTTACGTACGATGTCGTGTCTTATACTTGTTTTTTCTCGCAAACGTATTGTTTTTGTTATTATTATTACCTAGTAGGCATATTCGATCAGTCCGTATAACATCATTGTTACATGTCGTCGGTCCAAATAGATTTCGCTGCGCTCAACACTCGACGGTACAGCGATAATAATATATTATCGCACGTCAACAATAAATACTTCTACCTACTACTACTACTACTAATACTACTACTATTACTTTTAATAATAATAATATTTATTTTACTGTTATTGCACTCGTTTTGAAGATGCGGCCGCTCGCTATCGTTCATTCTGCCACAGTAGGTTGTATAGGACAAACTGGCGAGACTTTGTTACATATTTCCTTTATTTTTCAACATAACGTGCCTGTCTGTTAAGTGATAGAAAAAGTGCTCTGAGATTTTGATCCATGACTTTAGCATGATATTATTACGTACATGGGTTATTGAAGACTGAACGTTTATAGGCGACTGTTCCTACATATAAAATACCCATTTAAGCGGCCGTTTTTCGAATATCATCTTGTAGTTTTCCACAAGTTCCTCGTGAACTGTACCGAAGAACATGCGGTGAAATGTACACGGTCGGGTCAACCGATTTTGTTTAAGGAACCGTTTTTCATATCAATTTTATTCAATTTAGTAAACATTAACAGACACGCGTTCGGTCTGTCTGGGAAATTTTCCAATTTTCCAATTCAAATTAGCGTAATTAACCTAATGTATCATTATATAGTTTCACGGATAACAGCAATATTAGGTGGTTCATTAGAATAAGAAAAAACTCGTTTTTATAAGAACGTTTGATAATTCAATTTTCAATTACCTACGCGTTGAAATTTATCAATTTTACGACGGTATTAATTCAATACTTTCTGGCGTCGTTGCGCTTACCCCTCCTGGCCTGGAAGGTCTGCAGCGCTCGCCTGCAGTGTGTACAGGTAGGTAATACAAGACCGCGTCCTTGTGTCGCTTTTAATTTTCTCCGCCGCCGCCACTCCTATCGACGGCCGTCGCCGCAATATTATATCATAACACCAGCCGTACCCATTACAAAACGTTATCCACCAACAGCTATTTATATTTACGTACCATAATAGACACCTATTTTTTATTTAAAAAACGAATAATGCGATTTCGAAAATGTCGTTTTTTTCTATTATTATTAATATTCACATTATATTTTTCTCGCGATCCCAACCGACCGCGGGCGATCGGTTTTATCGTCCGTAAAATAAATTAAAAACAATTATTGCTATCTAGGTACGACGTTTTCCCTTATGTTTTTTTTTCACTTTTTACGACATAAATTAAACAAACTGCCGCCTCCGCTGCCGGCGGACATTCGTTCCTTTTGCCCTAACCCAACACCAACGAAAATAATGTAACAATACGTCGACGTCGTCTAGCCCGCGACACGCCGCACCCTGTCATGTCGCAAGTAATATTTTGTAGTTATATGTTATTATTATTGCGTACAATATAATAAATTTGTATTATGTTATTTTTAATGGCGATGACGACGACAACGACTACAGCAGTAATATTGACGCGATTTTTGTTTCAAACTAAAACATTTTTTCACCGTTATTACGATAATCACACGATGATTGTTTTTTCAAACACTAATAAGATACTTTCGAGCTACGCCTAATTTCATATGCGTAGTTGTCTGTACTCCCAGTCGTATTGCGGGCTCATCTTCAAATATTGACACGTATTTACAATTTACATCACCGCCGGTTTTTCATTATTATCATATTATCAAAGTCTAGACTTTATGCACTTAACCATTCGTTAATTTTCCATTATTAAAATCGTTAAAATATTATTAAAAATATAACATACGTTAAATTTATTGTCGTAAATGCCATACAGCTATTATGTATATAAAATACACAAGTATACAAAAATATGAAAATATGACTAAAAATAAAAAACCTAGCTATTTCTCAATTTTTTTTTTTTTGAAAAATATGACAGTCAAATTTCAAATATATATTTTGTGATCACTTATAAATTTTACAAAAGTCCTCCGAGCTTTGATTATAATATCATTTTTAGTTTTTAAAACATTTTAGTTAAATACATTTTGATAAATTCATATTATACGGCTTACACTATACGCCCATGTTATTATAATATTATTTGCCATTGCCTTTGCAGTGTTGTTTCACAGTACTCTTTCGAAATAATCTAATCAGCTAAAGTGTGCAGCTTATCGCTCTTTCTACCAAAATCAATGTTTAATTATTATTAGGTATTGGTATAATATTATATTAAAATAATATTATCTGGTAACGTGTAGCAGTCAGACATAAGATTTATAATACTATAATATTCGCACACGTACCTAGTACCTACTATATATTACCTATAATATATACTGCTGTTATTA